GAGCTCCCCCCACAACCTGCTGTCAAAAATGTTAAAATTAAAGGGATTTGTTGATTTTTTAAACTTAATTTCCATTTCTAAATAAAATGAGAACTTAACTTGTGTTGATATTTAGGCTGTTACGAATATAACAGTGGCAAGACTCAATCTCTGGCTGTTTACTGCCTTTTTTCCTCCTTCTGAAATATTTTGGAAGGTTTGTGGTGAATTGCATGCAGGGGCTGCCCAGCAAGGGCAGGTGTCAGACACAGAATTTGCTGGGCAGGTCAACTTCTGCTTTCATTTTGTGTCATAAAATCAGGTCCACACAGGTCTCCATTCCAGCTCCTGGCCCAAAGAGAACTCTTAGACCGAGCCTAGAGTGTGGATCTGAGCTTGTGAGTCAAGGATTCCCAGTCCTTGGAAGCCAAATTGTCTCTTGCTGACACTCATCTGAGATGGGGCCTGAGCAGGCACAATTCCGTAAGGAGGACTCCTGGCCCAGATGGTCCCACTCAGGTTCGGGGTGATGTCTGTGTGGACCTAGAGTCTCTTCTGTCCTGGCCACCTTTGCTCTGGTGAAAGGGGAGAGTAGAGGTCAAGCCCACACACAGGTCCTGAGTCAGTCTGTGAGCAGCAGTCAGCCCATGACCCACCATGATCAACTCATGACTTCCAATCCAGGAAGGAGCTCTCAGGGTAGGGTGTGCTAACAAACAGTGAGCCAACGACACAGGAGGGCAGGTCAGAGGCCAGAGCCCCAGAGGCCAAGGCAGACTGCCCAGAGCAGAAAAACAGTGCAGAGCAGAGCCAGACTCTGTGGGTGTCAGGCCATGCCATGTGGGTGCTAGAACATTTCATGTGCCCCCTGGCCCCTGACAATGCCTGCTCCTTAGCATCCAAATGGGGGAGGGAAGGGGTGTCTTCATCTTGAGACAAAAAGACTGGTCTAGAATAATTGAACTAACTTTGTGAATGAAGCAAATACCATTTACTAGACAGGATGGATGTGTGCATATTTCTATACTAATATTGACATACGTTCAACAGGTAGAGTAGAGCCTTCCTTACATTGGTTGTCAATGCCTCTTCACAAGGTTATTGATTAAAACCCCAAGCCAAGAATCTAAGGGAAAGGCAGACTCTGCTGTGGTCCTTATCCCTTTCCGATTTCACTCGGAAGTACACTGCCACCCGTGCTATGCGCTGATCTGCTGGGCTGTGTGCGTGAACTGCTTCTGCCAGAGTGGATGCAGCAGTTACCAACACAGTCTCAGTCTCTGATGCAGTCACTTCAAGTTTAGTCTCTTAAGTACAGATATTTCCTAACTAAATTTTTATAAATCGGACACTATAGTGTAATGGTTAAGTGTGGGGTGGGTTGGGGGTGGGGGATCAAGGTTCTAAAATTTGACCATGTGGATACAAATCTCATTTTTGCAACATGAACATCGTGGCATATAAAAGTAAATATGTCCTTGACTGGTATGTGGAAGGTCTTGGATAAGTTACATATATTCACTAAGTCTCCATCTTCGTTACCTGCAAAAGGCTGTCTAACTAGACTCATTAAGTTAAATGAGAGGATGCACAGATTGCACTGAGCACAGTGCTGGAAATTCAGAAAGCACACCGTAATGGTTAGCTGTTATTGGATACATTAGTACTGAACACAGTCATGAAAATGCAAATGTTTCCAGAGTGACCCAGTAAATTGTCACTGCCTAGGAAAACTGAGCAGAATTGCACACCCTCCACCTGGGCCGTCGACCCCTAATCCTTCCCTCTTCAGGTCCATGCTCTATAGTGTCAACAACGTTTGCTTCCCAGGAAACAAATCTGATCACAGTGCCCCAGTGTTCTTGGGTTACAGGTGCCAAGGGTTCCCCTTGGCTCAGGGTAGAAGCCACATTCTTCAGCGTGGCTTGCGTGGCCTCTCACAGTGGGGACCCACCTCCTTTCTACCCCCACTCGCCCTGTGCCTCCACCATGTAGACTTTCGCTGCCCCTCCCCAACCCATACTTTAATGACCTACTGGGTTTTGTGCTTGCTTTTTTGTGCAAGAATGCCAGCCTCTCCTTGCTCCCCAACCCCTTTTTTTCATCACAGGGACTTAGCTACCTGCTAAGAACAATAGCCTTCTGGTTAAACCTGTGAACTGTGAAACCAAACTGCCCGTGCCTTAAATTCTGGCTTCTCCATGTGGCCTTCGGCAAGTTTCTCCACCTCCTTCTTGCCTCAGTATTTTTATCTGTGAGATGGGAAAATTGTATTATTGAATTCATGAGGTTGCTAGTGAGAAATAAATAAGTTAGCATATGGAAAGCATGTTAGTACATAGAAAGAAGAACAGTCCCGTAGTAAGTACTCAATGGATGTTAGCTGTACTAACAGCTGTCATCATTGCCATTATTATTGTTCCACCAGAATGTAAAGCTCTTTAACAATAGAGACTGGGACCAGGCAAAGTGGCTCATGTCTGTAATGCCAACACTGTGGTAGGCCAAGGCAGGAGGATTGCTTGAGCCCAGGAGTTCGAGACTAGCTTGAGCAACATAGCAAGACCTTGTCTCTATTTTATAAATAAATAAATAAAGATAGAGTCTGGCTGTTTTGTTCACTGCCTGGCACATAAAAGGCACAGACTTTATAGCTGTTTAATAACACACAGACCGCTGGGTGTGGTTGTTTGTACATAGCCCCCTACCTGCCAGCCAGCAGACCATAAGCATCTTGGTTGTGTCTCGTCAACCCTTTATCTCCCAGAGCCTGCTCAATGGAGACAGGAATAGATCCCCAATAAACATTTGCTGAATGAATAAATGAACGAATGTCTGAGGTTGCATGTTTGTATTATCTTCAGGTTTAAGCTTATCAAACCGTTACGCCCTTTTTTCTTTTGACATGAGCATCTAATAGTTTCTGGAAGATCTCAAAAACCAGACATTGCATTTGGGAACTTTATCCCAGGGTCATCTCCAGAGCAGGAGAAAGTTCCTCTAAGAGATTCTGCCCCTGTGTGTGTTTCCACCCCACTTCCTTCTTCCATGCACCTTTCTCCTTTCTGAACCTCATGACTGTCCTCCTCCATGACAGTCAGAGGGAATTGTGCCTCATTAGGGGCAGACCAAGCTTGTCTGAAGAAAAACCAGCCATCTCTTTATCCAGAGCGAGGAAATCTCCCAGTGCAGAAGCCTTGTCTTTCCCCTTCTCGCTGGGTTCTTTACCCTCACTGTTTCATGGGAAACCTACTTCCATAAGGAAGTAAAAAAAAAAAAAAGAAAAGAAAAATTTCCCACAGTTTATCAGCCCTTCTGCTTCAATTCATCTACCTCAAATGAGAAATTAAAACCAGGGAGAGGGGAAACTGTGTATAATGTGAGTTAATGTAGTCTCCGCCCCACCCTCCCACCCCATTGCAGAGGAGGGAGGTTGAGCGGCCTGTCCGGGATAACGCAGCAGGTTAATGGCAGAGCTGGGACATGACTCACTCCCACTCTGGTGCTCAGCAGGGACTACTGGAAGCCGTTTAAAGGCAACTCTTACTCCCTGGAACTCCATGGAATGTCTCTGACCAAAAAGCCAGGGAACTGAGCACCGCCGGCCTCCACCAAACCAAGGCTTGGGAATGCCAAACTGACCCCGAGGGATCTGCAGCCTCACAAGTGCAGGTGCAGGGCTGAGCAGCGCCAGGACAGGGGTTAGGAGAGAGCGCAGGGCCTGGCCGATGGTGAAGAGGATGAAGACGCTCTGGGTGACAACATTTATACTTGGGCGACAGCAGAGAGCAATGCGCACGGTGTAACCGAAATCACATGTGCTTTTCAAACTTTTTGTTAGTCAAGGACAACTCTCTTGCTTTCTCTGTCTCTTCGTTTCACATCTGTAAAATGGAGATCATAAATCTCACCTATCTCACTGCATCAGCATAAGGATAAAAGTTGATTGCATGATAATTCTATAATGCGTTATTCGACCTTCCCTAATTGTTAAACATTTATATTGTTCTCTTTTTTATTATCATTATGACCTATACAAACACCGCTGGTAATTTTCTTGGACTAAAAGTGAAATTGCCAGTTTTACTCAGAAGGAGGCTTTTGATTCATACCTGTGCCTGTGACAATTTTCCCCCTAACCTCCTATGCCCCAGAAAGTTGTCTCAATTTGCAATCTCTCAGCTGGCAGGGAGGAAGGGTGGAGGGGACTTAGATTCATGTTCTCAAGTGGCTTCCTTGAACCAGCAATCTCAGAATGCTGCTACTGAGTAGGGCCTCCGTTTGCTAAAAGTTAACAACCGTCTCAGGCCACAGCAACCATGTCTTTTTTCGGGACTGGCCTAGGCACGTTTTGAAGTGGGTAAAATTCATCTTGGGACCTTCCTCCCTCCCTCGTGCCTGCATAGCCACTTGATCTGACTGTAGCGCTGACTCAACCCCCATACCCCTCACCTCCCAGGTTTAGCAACAGTTGCTCTCCGCTCCCCACACACAACATCTCCTGGAATTCATCAGCCTTACATGGCATTCCATCAGCAGACCCTAGACTTTCCATTCACAACCTCGCAAATTGGTTACAAGCACCTATCGAAATTGTTTGGGGGAGCAGGCAGAATCCTGAGTACAATGTCCTGTGTCAGCACAGGGGGAGGCCGGAACATCGTACCCAGTGAAGAGGAGGCTGACACCGGACAGGGGATGATGTTCCAGGGACAGATGGGCATTGAGAGGCCATCTCAATGCCTGCTCTGTCTCTTATAGGGCTGGACCTCCAGAATGTTCCTCAAAGAGAAGAGCAGGGCCTCCCTGAAATGGCAAATCCATTTCTCTTGAAACTTGGCTAAAAAGAGTATGTTACAGAGCCATGAGCTTCAGAATGATGGGCAGAGCTTCAACCATTTGCTTGGCAAACTGTGCTCTTTTTTGGGTCTTAAATCTGCATATTGGTGATGGGAATTCAGGGAGGGAAGACCACACGTGGTCCTGCCCTGCCACTGACCACCTCTCTCTTGGCCCTGCAGTCTGATGGCTCCATCCTGGCAATCGCCCTGCTGATCCTGTTCCTGCTCTTGGCCCTGGCTCTCCTCTGGTGGTTCTGGCCTCTCTGCTGCACCGTGGTAAGTGCCCTAGACCTCAGGCCATGTAAGGCAAAGGGTCACATAAAGTTCACAGACCATGAGTGGGGAGAGAGGGACAAAAGACTGTAAAGAAGGGAGGCAAATCTTGCACTTTTTATACAAAAGTGACATAAACTAACACTGATCAGTAGAACCATGAGCCATTAGCAGTCAATATGAGTTATGATGTGAAATTGCCAATGAACACAGCCTTTGGGAAGGGTAACTGGGGTGGCCACTCTAGTTCTGGTTCTTAGGAAAGATTCATAGGATGCAACAAATGATGAGTGTTTGCTTTGTAATGAATGTATATGCTTGTGTTCGTATGGTGCGTGCACACGTGTGCACATACATACACACACACACACACACACACACACACACACACACACAATGAACTGCCCCAAATCATACTCTTCTAAGGCCGCTTTGGTCTTAGAAACCAGTCTACCCATCTGAGACAGTGTCAACAATAGAGAGGCACCTGCCTTTATTCATTAATTTAAGCTAAGAGTTATAGGACACACCTCCTGTATGCTTAGCACTGGTCTAAGCACTTGGTTACAAGATCAATAAGAACTTGCCTTCTCCCCATCACTGTCATCTGGAGTCACCACATAACTTTAGCCAATGTCTCCCCAAATGACTTAGGGCCTAGAATAATCCATCCTGATGATAATCCCAAATGATATGTGTCTGGTTGTCAATTTCTGTTCCCTGGCCCTTAGACTAGAAAGAGCCTGAAGTAATATCCAAATGAGAGTGACATATCTATTTCTAGCATGTGCCATGCTTCTTCCAAATGAGCATGTGCTGTGATGCCCTGGTGAGTTTGAAATGACCACTGCTCCACTGCCATGGTTCTTCCATTCCCAATATTTTAGTTCCTCTGTGTAAAAGCCAATAGGGAATCAAGGACAATGAGGTTCTCCAGGACAGAAGCTCATCTGCATTTTATCTCTGAAACTCCAGCACTTAGCAAAAACCCACAGTGCAAGGGAATTCAATCTGTGTATAGAACTGAACTGAATCAAACCACAGACATCTAGAGCACTAGAATTGAAAAGGAGAGAAAAACGGCTTCAAATGACTTTTTTTCAATAACTTTAGGGGAACAAGTGGTTTTTGGTCACATGGATGAACTATATAATAGTGAAGAAGTTGGGCTTTAAGCATCCCCATCACCCGCTAGTATACATTGTACCCAGTAGGCAATGTGCCATCTCTTGTCCCCCTCCAACTCTCCCACTTCTGAGACTCCAGTATCCACTATACTATTCCTCTGCAGGCCTCTAGTTTAGGCCCCACTTCTGAATGAGAACATACAATATTTGGTTTTCTATTGCTGTGTTACTTCACTTAGGATAATAGCCTCCAATTCCATCCAAGTTGCTGCAGAAGACATTATTTCATTCTTTCTTAATGGCTAAAGACGTGGAATCAAACTAAATACTCCTCAACTAATCAGTGGATAAAGATGTGTGTGTGTGTGTGTGTGTGTGTGTGTGTATGCTATATAGAATACACACACACACACACACACACACACACACACACTTGTCTTTATCCACTGATTAGTTGAGGAGTATTTAGGTTGATTCCATGTCTTTACAATTGTGAATTGTGCTGGGATAAACATGCGAGTGTGGATGTCTTCTTTGTCTAAAGATCTCTTCACCTTTGGGTAGATACCAAGTAGTGGGATTGCTGGATAAAATGGTAGGTCTACTTTTAGTTCTTTGAGAAATCTCCATATCAATTTCTATAGAAGCTGTAATAATTTGCATTTTAAAAGAGGTGGCAAATGAATGAGATGAGAAACTTGGCCAGAATGTGGACCATGTAGTAGGGACTTCTGGAAAGGGGTGACTTGGAGCAGACAAGAACATGTGTGTGTAGAGACAGACCCCAAACAGGCACAAGTGTCAGGTCAGTTAGTACCATCTAGACATGATTTCACTGAAATTTTCAACAGATTCTTACCACAGCAGCTCCAAGAGTGAAATGTTGTTTTAAATGCTTAAGGCTGCATAACCATTTCATTCTGAGGGTAAAAAGTCCCCACAAGTCAGCCAAAGTGCTTTCTATGGTGATTCAAAAACCAAGCACATTTGCAAGTCCAGAATTTAAAAACGAAAAACAAAAAAACCCTTTCAGTGGGCTCTTAAAGAAGGGGTGGGCAGGGCTGCTGGCAGCAGGTAGTGTACACTATTGTAGTGTTGTTCACCTAGTCCCTTTGATTAGTACAAACATTTACTTCTAGGTGAGTACAGCTAGGAACAATATAACAGCCAAGCATTGCTCCACCAACTTCTAGCTGTGAGATCTTGGGCAAATTGCTTCATTTCTCTGTCTCAGTTTTCTCATTAGTATAATAAGGGCAATAAGAGCCCCTGCATTATAGTTAGATGGTGAAAATTAAAGGAGTTTATGCATATAGTGCTTAGAAAGCATCTAACACCAGCAGAACATGGTGGTTCATACCTGTAACCCCAGTGCTTTGGGAGACCAAGGTGGGAGGATTGCTTGAGGTCAGGAGTTTGAGACAACCTGGTCAATACAGTCAGACCCTGTCTCTACAAAAAAATTTAAAAAGTACCCAGATGTGGTGGCATGTGCCTGTAATCTTAGCTATCCCAAAGGCTGATTTGGGAGAATCCTTGAGCAAGGAGTTTAAAGCTGCAGTGAGCTATGATCATGCCACTGCACTCTAGCCTGAGTGACAGAGTAAGACTCTGTCTCTAAAAAATATATATATATATTAATTTTTCAAAAGAAAGCACCTATTAAATAGTAGTGCTGTGCATTATTAGAAAGCATATTAATATATAAAATATATTAAATATATGTAGTATCAATCAATTGTGATACTGTATGGCATTCAATTTATATTGGTGGGAAATGTTTCTCAAAATAAACCTTTTATTATTGAAGCAGCCTCACCCAAGGCCAAATTGTTTTGCAATATTCAAAATATTTTTCAATGAATTTTTCAGGTTAAATCCCTGATACTTTGGAAGGCTGACAGAATGTCTTAATGTAGTCTAACTTTGTAAGTCTCGAAGGATTTTTTTTATGAGGAATGATCTTGGAGAATAGTGTTCCTGTTTATGATGTCTGTAAAAACTGCCCCCTCCTCCTATTTCTCAAAGCTGGCTTGGGCTCCAGGGCTTGTTGTTCCCCCAAAAACCACTTGTTGATCACTTGCTTACTTGATGAGTGGCATTCTGAGGGAGTCGAGATATAGTCATGTGCTTTCTAAATAGGAGTACTCAGAAAGGAGGGAAATGGACCTCTCCCCGGGAGCTCCATTCAAAGGATGTGAGAAAGTTTCTCTCCCCCGCGTTATAATACCCCTCACCACAGTCCTCCGACTCACAGAGGGTCTCTGTACACACTGGTGGCCAAACATTCTCTGTCACTCTGCCTACCCTTCCCCCAAGGGTGAAAAATGCCCCTTGACCTGATAACCAAATCCACATCTCAATGGTGGGGGAAAAGCAAGAAAGCAGAAAGCACCTGCGAAATGTGGGGTACATGAGGCTTGTCCCTGCTGTGTGTCTTCCTCCTTCTGCAATGTTTTGTCCAGGAGTGATACTCAAAATATTTAACAACCTGCAAGGCTCCCACCCCTTCTGTGTCAAACTGTAGCCTTTGGTGGCTGGATATGGAGGTGGGGGGCACAAAGCCCTGCAGGCTGGGTAGGGGGACAAGCAATCAGATGTCTGGTTACTAACCACAAAGAACACTTTTAGACATACTGACCAGGATGAGCAGACTGGGTACAGGGGCCACCACCATCAGGCCTTCCTTCTGCTCGCATCCTCCTGCTTCCTGTTGGTCCTGTCCCAAAGAAGAAACCTTGTGGGTCAGGGTGAGGACGATGCCTATCCTTTGTACATTGCCTTTCCCAAAGGACCCCATTCCCATCTGGGCTCTTAATTTCCAGATAAATGGAACCTGAGTTCATGTTTTGCCAGTTTAACAGAGTATAATCTGAGCTATGCTGCTGAGTATAAACAGAGTAATGATTGCTGGACAGAGAGAGAAAATGACCTGATCCTTGTTGGAAACCTTTACTGTTCCCCAGCTTGGCCCTCAACAGCCCTAGGTATACCCATGGCTTCTGAGAGTCCTACATTTATTCACTGTTATCAAAACACCCATATTGAAGGGGAGAGAATCATTGGACCATGCACTCCAGACTTATTTGCATTTTCAAAAAGGAATTCAAGGAGTCAGTATTTTACCAGAAAAATATAAAGCCCTGCCTCAGTTCCACAGGGGCATTGCCAGAACCCTTTGTGTCCACTCCATTTACTCATAAACCTGGTTCATTACTGAAACTTCTAAACTGAACATTAAAAAGAGGAAGACTAGGAAATCTGAATGAGAAGAGGATCATGCAAAAAAGAATTGAAATGTATTGGAAGAGTAAATGTTATGAATGGCTTGAGTATATAGGGGGAAAAGGTCAACAATTAATCAATGATATTAGGGCAGTCAACTGTTCTAGAAAATTCAGGCAACTCTGAGAGTCTACCATTGTCCCAGCACAGAGCCAGGGCTCTGCTGAGAGCCTGCAGCCCAGCTAGGCTGGTGGCTTTATGTACACAGGCAAAGGCCATTATATCTTGTGTACATTTCAGCAGGTAACAAGACTCTGACAGATTCGGATTACCAGTGGAGACTGGCTCCTCCAGATGAAAAATCTGGAAGTTAGAATAAATGCCTGCCTACTCTCTTAATTTGTTGACACTCTTGTGAGCATTTTTGATTCCCTGTCTCCCACCCCACTTGGCCTGCCCATCCCTAAACCTGGTCTGACCCAGTTGTATGTATTCTCCTTTACCCTCTCAAGATAACGATCACTTCAGAAGAAAATGTCCCCAGCATGCTGATTGGGGCCATTGCAAACTTATGAGGCCTTCTACACTGCTTAGCACACTTCTAACTTATCTTCACGAATAAAAATCCCTCTCAAACTGTTACCATGCTCC